GAAGACGACGAGGCATCAGTTTACCGACTCTGGGTTCTTGGAGTAGCGTACTTGGGTTGAGGGTTTAGGATTCAGGGTTTAGGATTTATGGTTTAGGGTTTAGGCTTTTAGTTATTTGCTTCGGATCTGTTCCTTGCAGGAACCTCTATGAAATAAGAGTTTATGTTTTTTGGTCCACGGCTACTTCAAAGCCAAGGACTACGACAACCTTCCCTTCCGATGCTTCCAGGCCAACTACATCCTAGTGCTTCTGGGATCCTTGGCCGAGTTGAGGGTTCAGGGACAACTACCTCTATTAGTGCTGTTGGGATGCTCGGCCCGAAACACGAGACCCTGAACTTCCTGAACCCTAAACCCTAAGCCCAAAATCTTAGTGCTTCGATGTTTGGCCCATGAGGGCTTCGGGTTCATATAGTGCAGAAAGGGATACCATACGCCTCAGTGTTTCTCGGATCTTGGGCCACTTTGGGTGAATATGGATTGAAGGAAGAAACATATACCCTAAATCCTAAACTCCTAAACCCCAAACTCCTAAACCGCCTAAACCCCTAAACCCTAAACCCTAACCCTTCAGGTATTGGAGCGACCCTCCGCCTTTTCTGTGGTCATAGAGTCCTATCTATGGCGGGACCCAGGGATACAGAGCCATCGTGTTATCGGTGACGTGGGTGTAGAGATTTGGGGACAAGGCGGCTTAGCTTGCCAGAGAAGGCTTTATCTTGTTGTTGTAGCATCTGTCCAGGCCCCCAGACTACTAAAATCTGATCCTGCGCTTTTGTTGTTTGGTCTTGCCCCCTCCTTTCTCCTATTCTTGAACCTCAATTCCAGACTAGTGTCTACATCTTCGAACCACCTGCCCAAAGACCGAACTCTGAAGTCCTGAACTTGATCCCTCAGCGCAACCAGTTCAAGAATCGGAAAGTCAAGCATAGTCTCGGTAGTGATGGCATCCGTGGTCAGGACTGGATAACACTAAACCGTTAAGCCTCACTTTGCCAAGACCTTGCAAGATATCACACCCAACACACCGCCAAACAGACGAACACCATCGGTGTTCGGTCCTCCGAAGCACCCAGGAGAAGTCTACGGCTTTGCGAAAGATTCGCGGAAGGTCACTTTTGCCCTCGAGGCCCCTTGCTGAAATCTGTGCCCTGAGACTTTTCTTAGCAAGTAAAATTATAAGTGCTCTCATTGGGGCTATAACAAGGTTGTTCAGTACTTGTTTGTTGTTTCTGGGGTCAGAGACCAAGCCCGAAAAAGTATGTAATTGTTCCAGTGGGTTGCTGCACGGCGTAGATAAGTCATGTTACTTGTAGTTACGTTGACTCTTACAGACACTTTTAGAGAACCTTGACAGGAATCCGTTAAGGACCTCTGAATTATGTGTTCGGGTGTCACGTTTTGCATTAAGAACTTTCAGGGTTTGCGGCCAAATTCTTCGGAGTTTGTTTCAAGCAGTTTGGGGCTTATTGCATCTATGGCCCCGGTTTAGGGTGTAGGATCCTAAACCCTCAACCGTGGCGCGAGAATAAGCATCCAACCCCTCACTCCGAAGCTTTTTTGGCCCTTCGGACTCTTATGGGCTTGGCTTTTCGGAGTCGGATGAGTCGCTGCTTGGAGGTTCATGGGTAGTTATAATAGTAGGGTTATAAGTCCCCTACTATGGGTTATAAGTATATTTACCCTACTTCTAACCCCACTTATAGGGTTATAGGTTACTATGGGTTATAAGTATAGTTACCCTACTTATAACCCCACTTATAACTACCCATGAACCTCCAAGTGTCCCATGCATGTGTTGGGGTGCGACTCGTTTCGCGTGGAGTCTCGTGCCAACTGTGGCTCCGGCACGGTGTGTTGCGTTTTTTTGGCCTCATAGGTCTGATTGTCGGTCCAAGGCGGCTGAGGGGCCCTAATAGTTAGTATAAATATCCTCTTCTAGTTCCTAAACCCTAAACCCTAAACCCTAAACCCTATAACCATTGAATAGCATACTGTGCCCAAACCCCATTGGGCCCCTCATGATCCAACCCTTTTGGATCCCTTGACCCTTACAGTAAAACGGAGACAGGAGCCAAATTGACTGGAAAGAAACTAAACCCTAAACATCCCTAAACCCTAAACCTGAAACCGTAAACCCTAAACTATTATTCCGGGCCCTATATCAAACCTCTGAGAACCTCGGCAAACTCGTGAGCTCTCAGGTGGACGGAGAAGACCTTGAGTGGCCTCTAGGTGCCTCTCACATGAAGCGCTACGGTTTAGGCTCGAGAGTTGAGGTTTTAGGGTTTTGGGTTTTGGGTTTTGGGTTTAGGGTTTAAGGTTTAGGGTTTAGGGTTTAGGGTTTAGGGTTTAGGGTGTATGGTGGTGACAAATATTGTGGCTTCACCATTTTACGAATGATGATGATGATGGTGATGCTGAATTGGTAAGCCCGTAGCTGTGATTGTGGTAGAGGACGCAGGGGCGACAGCAAAATGTTCTCAACATGCACGGCGACTTAGTAAGCAGGGCTGTCGCTGCTGTAAGTAGGGTGGAGGGGGGGAGTTTTATGGTTTACCTAAGTCATGTAGTTTCTCGGGGCTCCTCATAAGACATCCAGCTCGACCAGCCTGACTTGATCCGGCAAAATTCACGACAGACACCTCCCACAGCAAACACCGAAAGGAACGCAACAGTTGTTCTTGACATTTACGTCCTAATGAAGGTACTTATAACCTTACTTACTAGGTCCCCTGATCCTGCAGGCATGCATCGCCCTTAGGCAAGATTGTTTAGCAATCCGAACTCAAAATCGCTGCAGGCAGCCCCAAAGTCTTATCATTGAAGCCCCCAGGCAGATGGACATCTGAATTCGAGGTTCAAGCTGAAACTTTAAACCCATCAGCCCAAAGTATGTATCGAGAAGACTATATACTAACATGTATCAGTACATACATATATATATATATATATACATAGATGTACACAGATGTATGAGGAGAGGGAGATGACGAGCGATAGACAGCTATGTAGGCCGGAAGAGAGATAGGTACATACCATGCCAAGCCCGAAACGACACAGGGGCCCTTCTTCACGGACGGTCTCAACCCGGCCAAGCAGAGGCCACAGGCGAGCTGTGAGACTCTGTGTCCGATTTAAAGCTGCGAAGCTTCGGGTTTTAATGTGCGGCCCGATCGCATAGGTAGCCTCTCGTTTGCACAGATCCCTATACAGATCCGTGATGCATAAGAGACCCTTCCCGCTGTGATGAAGCGGAGTCGCTTGAATGGACTCTGGGGTCACGGCTGGTCGAAGAGCGACCCGATTGCTTTGTTTGGCTTCTCCTTTGCACACGTAGAAGATTTTGCCTCCTGCTCGCTGTAAAGCGGAGTGGCTTGGATGCACTGTGGGGATCCGCAACTGCCGGGTTCTCGCAACCGTTGCGAACTCGGATTCACCACACTATTCACCGTACAGCAGCGGTATTTCCGTCACAAGTGAACAGACGCAGCTCCACGCGGAGTTGATTGCAGAAGCCGTCCCCGCGTGTTCCGTGAGCGCCGTCGACAAATCAGGGCTCAATACGGCACATAAACATAAAGATCCCACCCAGGAAACGCGTAGCTGCCACACTGTTTGGTATGACATGATGAGCTGGAAACCTCTCGGGCTTTGCCATCAAAACTATTTCGGAAGATCTTTACGCGGTCACGGCGCTGACTCTCTAAATGCGACTATATCTATCACCACATAAAGATCTCACACAATTTGTCGTTGCTCATTTTTGTAGACCACATAAGGATCTCACTAATTTTTCGTCATGCGAAAACTGGACCGGAGAACCAGGTCCCTCCTCGTCCGTGAGATCTTTATGTGGAAACTCCTTTGTGTGCCCAATTTGCTTCCTAACAAAGCCCGTGCTGAATGGATGGGCGATCGGTCAGTCTGACGGGCATCCTGTTGCCATCATCATCATCATCACCACTAGCTTCACTGTACTAGCTTCACTGTCGTGATGAAGATCAGTACCAACCCGAATCAAACCCGGGGCAGCCATCATCATCAAAATCAGCAGCAGCAGCACCACCGGCATCACCATCATCATCATCACCATCATCATCATCATCATCATCATCATTACCACCACCATCCTAATCATCATCCTCCTCGTCATCGCCACGGTCATTTCCATCGTCATGTTGATCATGGTCGTCACACTACTGCTTTCTGCATTTGCCACCACCAAGGTTATCGCCGCTGTCTCCATCTTGACCATGTCTGCCAGCAAGATCACAGCCATCGTCATACTCAGCAGACAAACGTCAAACTTCAGCATCAGCAGCGGCAGCATCATGCTCGCCACTATCATCGTCGTCGCCATCATCATCATCATCATCATCATCATCATCGTCACCTTCATCCTCAGCATCATCATCATCATCATCATCATCGTCATTGTCATCGTCATCGCCATCATCACGGTCATCATTGCCGGCATTGTCGCCGCCAGTATCGCCATCATCGTTGCCAGTGTCATCAGAAGCAATGGCAGCACCATGTTCATCGACGTCGCTAGCATTGATATTGATGCAGGGCTCTTAGTTCAAGTCAAGGTTCAGGGTGTTGAAAGTTTCAATCAACATGCTCTTCTACATATTCAAATCCAGTGGTTGGTGGAGATTGCAAAATGCACGTGTCCAAAGGCCTAAAGTTTCGCAGTTTCTGAACACGTATTGTGTGCAAGAAGGATCCCGACAGAGAAGGGACCTTGCAATCGCCACAGGCGTTGATCTCGCTAGGTGAGAGATCCATGTCTAGATGCCACCGAACGTATGAACCCTCAACCACCGCGACTGCACTGAGACTGCATACCGGCTCGTACACAGAAGCACATCCCGGCTACTTACTGGAAGCCTGTCTGCTAAACGAAAAGCTTGCAGACAGTGCAAGCCCCTCTTGAATCCATTATTCTTGAGTCCATGCTCGAAAAGCCCGAATTCTGGAAACCTAAGCCTAAGGCTATCCTGCAGATCTCCTGTTTGTGAATGATTGCACAATGCTGCGGCAGTTTTTCAACTGCGGACGCCGGGAGCCCTATGGCAGTTCGTTCAGAACAAGGCGTCGCTGATAAGGTTGCCCAGAGGGTCCATATACACTACCATTATGGAATTAGGTCCCAAAAGACCATCCCTAATATGGTTTTTGGGGACCTAATTCCATAATGGTAGTATATATGGACCCTCTTGGTTGGACTAAGCTTTGACGACAGCGAGCAGATGGGCGCAAGCCTCATGTTCATCATCGGTATCGTTGTTTACAATCCACATCCCAACCTGCATCGGCATCGCCACCATGATTCTCATGTAAAAGCTGATGGTGAGCATCCGATCAGGAAGGTGATTCTTTTGGTGATTCGGTGGTGGTGGTGGTGGTGGTGGTGGTGGTGGTGGTGGCAGCAATGATTATGATGATGATGATGATGGTGATGACGATGATGACTACGATTGCGATGTTGATGATGATGACGATGGCGAAGGTGGTGTTGATGCTGGCGGTGGCGGTGGTGGAGCTGGTGGAGGTGGACGTGGTGATGATGGCCATTGGTAGAAAAGCAGATGGGTACAATAGACGGCTTGGTCGGCAGACATGTCGGAATCACCGCAGGCCGTGCTAAACCCTGAACTAGCCCTAGCCCCCCAGGGACCTACTATATAGGGTACTAGAGCCCCTAAGGCCCTATATAGTAGGTACCTGGGGGGTTAGGGTAGCCCAAGACTCGGTCGTCAGGTTGTGAGGCATCCTCCGGCACTGCTCTCCCTGCGCTTCGCGCACCTCGTGAACGTAAGGAGGCCCCGCAGGGAAGATTTCTTAGGGAAGGTGTCCTTTAAGAGTTACTGTAGGGGTTTCTTTGAGGGTGCTGCCAAGGTTTCTCTAATTACAGACCATTCAGGTTAATTACTACAAAAGTACTATACGGGTAGTTTAAGCGTACTATACGGATATGATAAGCGCATTATGGAGTTTCGGCTTGATAGGATTGAACCGATTGAATATAGAAGCCTGAATAATTTTCAATATCATTCCCCAGAGCTATGAACCATAATATTGCCCAGAGACCTTATTCTAATCAATAAGGCCCCGATTATTAGAGCAGTTGCTGTTGTCTCCGTGCACTCATGCCAAGCACATGACTCCGTACATGTCAGGTCCAAGTCGTAAGCACCAAAACACTCGAGACGTATAGGGCTCATGGATCAAAGGAGTCGGGAAGAGCCGCAAGATGTTTGTGTTTGAGACTACGTCGACCCTGCACCTCGAATTCAATCGGGTTGCTATACCCTTCATATCCAACCCTATAAGCCTTAGACTGAACGCTCCCGAAGAAGTGTTGTGAGGAGCGCAGGGGCGCTGGCTCGATTTGCCTCACGAACTCCGTGCGCCCACTCGGATGCAGGGTCCAGGGTTGCAGTTCTTCTTTCTGGGTCTAATATTCCCTAACCCCCCAGGTACCTACTATATAGGGCCTTAGGGGCTCTAGTACCCTATATAGTAGGTCCCTGGGGGGCTAGGGATTTTTTAGGGGTCAATGATAGTAACAACGGATGATACCAACCGGTTTGACTCAGGTTTTCGGACGCGGTTTGCACCAGATCCAGTGCTTTACGGCTTGAACTCAGAGTCAAGTCTGTTGGCGTATTTGAAGAGGTGCCATGCGGATGTAGACTTTAGATAGACATTCCCTTTCGGAAGCGGCTTTGGCATTGGGATCTGCCGTATTATCCTTATTACAGACCGGGGTTTGTTGATTTATCAGCAAGAAGCTGACACCTTCAGTTTTGTCAACATCCGCGGACGTCTAGACCTGTCCTCCATGTATACTTATAGCAACTACAGCTATTGGAGTGGAGGTAGATATGCTGCCATTCAGTTTCCTGAATAAACCCAAACCCCCCAGAGACCTACTATATAGGGTACTCGAGCCCCCAAGGCCCTGCATAGTAGGTACCTGGGGGTTAAGGTAATATTCTCGGATCCTAAAAGAGCTTCGGGCGGAGAGCCTACGACTTCCCGTCAGCCTCGTTCGGCAGTTCTAGTCCCAACTTATGGGATCGAATCGACGGGCCGTGCTGCATTGCCGTGCCTCCGTTGTGCAGCATATGGGTGCTAAACCCCGAACCCCCAAACCGTGGGGTTTTAGACAGCATGCTATGTGATGTGCGGCCTCAGACCCAGGTCGAGGAACCAGATTTGCCAAGTCAATAAGGCTCCCTGAGGGTCCATGTGCCCAAATAGTATATACTTTGGCCTTAAAGTAGTCCCTATATAGATACATTGGGGCAAAGTATATACTGTTTGGGTACATGGACCCTTAGGGGCTTATAGCGGAAGCATCTCTCAGAAGAGTAGGGCCCTTCTTCCAGAAAATATCGGTACACCTGCTACGCTGGTCAAGCTTTAAATCGACATTTACTGGTCTGGGAGGTTTGAAACCCTAAACCCTAAACCCTAACCCCCCAAACCTTAATCCCTGACGTCTGTATCTGTCCGAAACCCTGGACCTGGCCAGGACGTGCTGCAACATCCCCCATCTTGCCACGCTGTCGCTTGGCTCTGCAGTTCTCCTTGGCAGATGTAGCACTTGAGGTTTGTAGCTGAACTTTCCGTCTTGGCAATCCTGCTTCCACAAGTGTCAGGCGCATCTGCATTAAATTGATCTGCGTCAGCCGCGTGAAAGGTTCTCCCTGCAGATTTTCGCGAAATTATTATTGCATGGTCAAGATTCCACTGTGACGAACTGCTTCCGCTGTGAGGTGTAGAAACATGCTATATACAATACCTGATTATCATTGGCGCGTCAGATGCTGTTCATGAGGAAGCATGGCCTTGTGCAGCACAGGGTGACTTTCAAGGTGTTGCCCAGAGTCTGAAGACCCTAAACCCGAAATCCTACAACCTATAAGACCTACTCGTTTCCTTTCTGTCCAGGGCTTCCTGTCTGAGGCGGACTCGGACAAGCAGCGGCTTTGCGTATGCCGTGAGGAGCTCTCAGTTCGGGCCTTGGCAGGGGTGCAGATCAAAGAGACCCGTGATCAGTTTTGCATCCGCCTTATCCCTCACACATCTCAAATCGCACCCGGATTTCTTAGCATGCTGTGGTATGCGATCTGAGACAAAGATGTCAGCGGTCTAGATTTCTCCTCCAGAACTGTCTCTCTAGTTGCGATTTGTTTTGTGTGTGTGATGATCATCATCGTCGCTAGCTGTTGTATCAGCATCTTCATCGCAGCTCTGATTCCGGAGACTGGTAAGCCCTGAACATCACACCCGACTATAGAAGCCTGATCAAAAGTATATAGATAGATAGATAGATAGATAGATAGATAGATAGATAGATGGATAGATGGATAGATAGATAGATCGATAGATAGATAGATAGATAGATGATAACACCATTTTCCTCATAGCCTGCCTCCCAATTCTAAGTGTTCAGGCCCCTATACACTGATGTCTCGCCACAAAGCTTGGAGGCTCATAGGAAGTTGTGAGCTGTACAGGTCCAACTGACGATTGGAAGTTAGAACTGCGCGCGTTGAGGACCATGATTTCACCAACTTGCTGCCCAACCTGACTCCACCAGCAGCCCTATCTGCCCATCCCCAATTGGTTCGTCCTAGACCCTGCATTCCCGTGCGCTCAAACGCGGAATCCCACGTCAGGCCGCTCCGCTGAAGCCGGCAGTTCGCGAGCGCGCCGACACTTCGAAGCAAGTCGCTAGTTCCATCGAGTTTGCAATACGTAGAATTCGAAATACCTACTGAGGTTCCTATATTGCAGAAGTACATAGATACGTTGTACTGCAACATACTCCCAAAAGAGTTTCTAGCCATTGTAGTGACCTTATCAGGTATTCATAGAGGTTTGGCTTTCAGGGTCTTCCACCAGTAGCCATATTATAGGGGGAGTTCTGAAAGCCTTTTATGACGGTGCCGTACTATATTTGGGACTGCATTAGGGCCCCTGATTTAGAGAACTACCCATACAGGCTTAGGGTGTGGAGTGCTGGGCCTTTACGTCGAGGTGTTTAGGTTGGCGGGTCTGGTTTGTTGCGACAGGTTGCATGCCAGGGCCTAGATGATGCGACCCAGGCATTCCACTACACTACGTTCTGGGCAAGCAAGCAGGAGAGAATTCGCCTAAGATTTCAATGGGTGCATGTGCTTTTGAGTATTCCAACATTGGGTCAGGAATGGCTGCTGCGGTTCGATGGGAGTCTAGAAATCCTAAACCCTACTCGAAGTCGCAAGCCTGAACCCCAAACCCTTGGATCGAGCCGAGAGGTCTGGGTCTCGTTGCCGGCTGGTTTCTGTCGGGTGAGTCCTCGGGTGTGTCGTTGTCGCTGTTACATTCTCAGGTTCATTCTTGCTCTTTGCTGATGCCTGGTGGGTACATCTTGCTGTGAGATGGTTGCCCGCAAAGCCGTAAAATCAGTCACCCGACCACAGGAAAACCAGCAAGAGTCAGCAGCAGACATCAATCAAATCCGGATTTTCGGCCCTAGAAACACGTGACTCAGTGCAACATGCTCAGGAGGCTACCGCCGAGGCCCGGGATGATGGAAGTGAGGAGCTGCTGCTTCTGCTTGCCCTTGAATAGTAAGCACTAGGTATTAATAGCAATAATCAGACTACTACCAGTACGAGTGATACTAATGCTACTAATACTACCAAAACTATGAGTACAAATACTATTAACAATGCTGTAGTTATTCTTGGAAATCTTCATCTTCATCATTTATTGCCAAAGATCATCCATCGTCATCCTCGCCTTATGATTGTGCCGATTGCTATCGTCTTCGCCTTTCTCGCAACAGTCACCATGCGCATCGTCGCGATCATCGTCACGAGCAGTCTCGAGACCCTCATCTGCTTCTGCGACATCATCACCATGAGCATCGTCTTCATCACTTTTACGATCGTCACACTCCCTATTACCAGAATCGCTTCCATGTCTTCATGGACGCCTTCGTGGTCATTCTCATTTTCGTGGCCATCAGCACCATCATACACGGCCTTTACCGGCAATAAGCCGATTTGAGTCGATCCCACTCATATAGCTTGAACCCTCTTTAAGGGTTTAGGGTTTAGGGGTTTATATAGGGTTTGGGGGTTTAGNNCCCCCCCCCCCCCCCCCCCAGTCACCTCTCGCAATGCCTTCGACGGCCCACGCTTTTGGGACCAACGGGTGTTTGGAGGGTCCTGGGCCTCACATAACTGTAGGCGCATAGGGCTTTCGAAGCTCTTCTGGCCTCCAGGGGGCTTCGCAGTAAGCTTTTTTGCGTGCCTTGAGGTCTCCCGGCCGTGAACCCCCCTAAACCCTAAAC